AAAAGTGTAAGTGTAAATAAACACAAAAAGCTTCCACTACATCATGTTTTTAAATGGTTATATCTCAAAAACTAAAAAAATTAAATAAAATACTTAAACGAACGAGTCTTAAAAAAAAAAAAAATGATTTTATAAATAGTTTGTATTAAATGTAGATTAAAAATTAAAAATCCAAAGTTAATGCATGTTATATATTATAATAATAAATAGGAAAATATTATGAATATTCATTATTTGTAGGTTACGTTATGGTTCGCTAGAATGTTCTACAAGTTTCAACATCTACTTCGGTTATTGTCCTCTACCAATAGCAACAGAATACCTATCACGTAAACAAGTTGTGTAGCACAACAACTGAGAATCGGACAAACGTGGTTTACACTTTCTCATGAAACGTGAAAAACCTATACAATGTGTTAGGTACTTACGGAGAAGACCTATAACTACCAAATACGTCCTTCAACACAGTTACAATTATGCAGACATTAGAACCTAATTAAACATACTTTAATTCGAACAAAATTTTAATTTTTCAAAAAACAACCAAACTTCATAGCCTTGTAAAASTTTATCTKTATTTTTTTTTCTWTATTTTGCATACTATGTTTAATCCTATATCAAATACTGTRAAATTATACATASTAAATATTGTAAATGTAAACTAATAATTTTAGATATTGAAGCTTTAAAGGTTAAAGTAATAATAATTTWAAAAAAAACTGAACAAGTAGGGTTTGAAAAAAACTACTCATTTATAATTCAAATTCTAGAGGAATATCTATACTAAKTTTATGAAATAKCTTTTTGTGCCAAACGCGATGAAATAAATTTGAAGATAGCAGATTTTTAAACTTTATAAAGCYTTGGTTGAGATTAATAATCGCCTAGGTAAAATAGCTTAGTAATCTCTAGTAATCTTTGGAAATCTCTGTGAATCAGGAAATGTTTATTAGATATTGGAAATCTTTGGTTATCTTTAAAAATATCTTGTAATCTTAAGAAATCTTTAGTAATCTTTGAAATTTTTTGGAAGTTCTCTGGTGATYTTTAGAAATTCCAGGTAATTTTTGGAATTCACTTGTAATATTTGGAAATCTCTAGTTATCTTTAAAAATCTCTAATAATCTTTTGTAATCTTTGAAAATATTTAGAAACCTCTAGTAATCTTTGGAAACTCTTGGTAATCTTTAGAAATCAGTGGTAATCTATGGAAATCTCTGGTAATCTTTTGAAATCTCAATTATTTAAATTATTCATTTTTACTAAATATTGGGTCATTGTGGCTTAAATCATTTTTCGTAATTTATGTTTTTACTTTATTTGTGTCAATCACTGAATATAATTTAAAGTTTAATGTAGATAATGTAGTTGTTTACATATTATATTTTTCAGTAAGACATATCTAAAGTTATAGGTATTTTTATAGTAATGGATTTGCAATATATTTCATATAGTTTGATGGTATTTTAATATTTTAAATAAATAAATAAATTATATTGATGTATTTAAATAGTTTAGATTCAAGATATTGTGTGTAGTTAGTTTTATTGATAAATATTAAATTGAGATAATCCCCATATAATAGAAAAGTGTATACTAGTATAAATTTATTTTAATGGTTATACAATTTTTGATTAAAACTTTATACTGCATTAAAAATRATTTAACACGACTCAGAATATTCCAAGCAAGACATTAATTGCAGTTTATTGGACCTTTTATTCTACGTCCTTTATATCAACATTATTTCATATCACTGGCTCTGAAAAGTTTGAAGGTTTATAACTTCTAACCCACGTTTAAATATAATCGATTATATAGGTATTTAGATAAAATGATTGTAAACACATTGTTACTCGCTTAGGCAGTAACAAAAAATGTTTATTTTATAGCTGTAAATATTTGTATTAAAAAGATCCCTATAATAATACATTATTGTGATTAAATATTATTTTAAAGTATACATTCAAATTTTAAAATCAAAATTTAAGTTTTTATTTGTGATACTTCTTATAATTTGGTTTTAAAATAAGTTGAACTAGTTGAAGTATATTTATGGTATTCAAAATGTTAATTGTGTTATTATTTTTTATAAAAAACATTATACTACTAACAGTAGGAATTACACTTTACACTAGGTTACATATTTCGTCAATTATCATCACACCCATTTATAAGAATGACTTATTGATATTATGCATTATTTTGTACATG